AGAGCAAATTCTAAATAATATCCCACAAACCCATTGTAAGTTGTATTTTCTTATTTACACCTAAATAATTGTTTAAATCAAATATGTGGTAAACTTTGTGTATCCTGCGCTCCTATAACATGCTTTACCATTGTCAATCCTTCATTGTCTTAACAAAGTTGAACAGCCCACCTCGGTTTTTTTTTTTTTTTTTTTTTTTTTTGGCAAAGAATCTCGCACTCAGACTGAGCAGAATCACCCCAGTGTTGATTTAAGAAAGCTTCCTTTGCCTGGTTGACTTCATCGGATGCCAGAATAGGAAGAAAATACAAGTACTGTTGAAAATAACATGGTTGTATTAAAATTTACAGATAGTATAATGTGTACCACTGAGCATTAAGATGTCATTAACGGACAATAGAATGTTGTAGGACAACTTGATAAACTTTGCTTATTTACACCTAAATAATTGGAAGTTGACATCATTGGAAGAAAAAAGTATTTGGAGCCGTCATCAGAACGAAGCTTTTTAGCCTGTAGGACAAATCTGATGACATAAAAAGCACGATAAGAGATAGGAAGCTCTCTACTAGAGGTGTTTCTTCTTAGATCACATTTTTTCACATTCCTGTTTTATTTTCCTAGGATTCTGTAATCTTACATATTTTGTTGTACTTTAATTTTTAATGCTGCTGTTAGTGGCCACAAATATAAGATCAAACAAAAAGTATTTTCTTCCCCTCCAGGTAACTTATACTTGAGATTAGCCTGACATATGCAAAAGGGAAAAGTAGAGGTAAAGATTTATAAAGGACATAGCTAATTAAAACCAATAAAAATATTGGAGTCAAATCAGATGTCCTGAGGATAAATAGAATTTCAAGTATGTGTTAGACAATGTGCACACTTGCACAACTCCACTCTCCCTGACCCCCAGCAATTCCAGCTAGATCTCCAGCTCCAGGATGACTTTACATCCTTTATGTCCGTTTTAATTAGCTATGTCCAGATCCAGCCTGGAATTCCTGGGGGTCAGGGAGAGTGGAGTCTTCTTGCTATGTTTTGTAACACTAGTAAAAGGCTATTGCATTTGTGGCTTCTAAGTAGATCTGAGAATCAATGCAGGAGGCTTTGTGTGCTGGATACCAGGTGTATTATCTTTGATGCAACATTTAACTTTCAACTACCTCCATTTCGTCTTAAAGTGAAAAAATTGTGCTGGATAGGCTCTAATGCATCCCAGCTCTACCACGATTCATACTAGAAGAAAGAAATACACTTCTTTTTTTTTTTTTTTTTGTACTTTAGATTCTGTGGTACACATGCAGATCATGCCAGATTGTTGCATAGGTACATTCATGGCACGGTGGTTTGCTGCCTCCACCCCCCCATTACATATACCTGATAATTCTCCCCATGTTACCCCTCCCCACCTTCCCTCCCACTATTCCTCCCCTAACCCGCCCCCCAGCAGACCCCAGTGTGTGATGCTCCCCTCTCTGTGTCCACGTGTTCTCATTATTCAACACTCGTCTGTGTGTGAGAACATATGATGTTTGATTTTCTGTTCTTGTATTAGTTTGCTGAGAATGATGGTTTCCAGATTCATCCACGTCCCTACAAACGATATGCACTCATTTTATATGACTGCATAGTATTCCATGGTGTATATGTGCCACATTTTCTTTGTTCAGTCTATCATTGATGGGCATTTGGGTTGGTTCCAGGTCTTTGCTATTGTTTTTTTTAATTAATTAATTAATTAATTTTTTTATTTTTTATTTTTTTATTTTTTTATTTTATTTTTTTTGAGACGGAGTTTCGCTCTTGTTACCCAGGCTGGAGTGCAATGGCGCAATCTCGGCTCACCACAACCTCTGCCTCCTGAGTTCAGGCAATTCTCCTGCCTCAGCCTCCTGAGTAGCTGGGACTACAGACACGCGCCACCATGCCCAGCTAATTTTTTTGTAGTTTTAGTAGAGATGGGGTTTCACCATGTTGACCAGGATGGTCTTGATCTCTTGACCTCGTGATCCACCCGCCTCGGCCTCCCAAAGTGCTGGGATTACAGGCTTGAGCCACCGCGCCCGGCCCTTAGGTCTTTGCTATTGTAAACAGTGCCACGATGAACATACATGGTGTGCATGTATCTTTCTAATACGATTTATAATCCTTTGGGTATATACTCAGTAATGGGATTGCTGGCTCAAATGGAATTTCTATTTCTATATTCTTGAGAAATCACCACACTGTCTTCCACAATGGTTGAACTACTTTACACTCCAACCAAAAGTGTAAACATGTTCCTATTTCTCCACATACTTTCCAGCATCTGTTGTCTCCAGATTTTATAGTGATTGCCATTCTAACTGGCATGAGACGGTATCTCAATGTGGTTTTTATCTGCATTTCTCTAATGACCAGTGATGATGAGCATTTTTTCATATGTTTGTTGACTTCATATATGTCTTCTTTTGAAAAGTATCTGTTCATATCCTTTGCCCACTTTTGGATGGGTTTGTTTGTTTCTCGTGAATCTGTTTTAGTTCCTTGTAGAGTCTGGATATTAGCCCTTTGTCAGATGGGTAGATTGCAAATATTTTTTCCCATTCTGTTGGTTGCCAGTTCACTCTAATGATTGTTTCTTTTGCTGTACAGAAGCTCTGAAGTTTAATTAGATCCTGTTTGTCTATTTTGGCTTTTGTTGCCATTACTTTTGGTGTTTTAGTCATGAAGTCCTTGCCTATGCCTATGTCCTAAATGGTTTTGCCTAGGTTTTCTTCTAGGGTGTTTATGGTGTTACGTCTTATATTCAAGTCCTTAACCCTTCTGGAGTTAATTTTAGCATAAGGTGTCAGGAAGGGATCCAGTTTCTGCTTCTGCACATTGCTAGCCAGTTTTCCCAACACCATTTCTTAAACAGGGGATCCCTTCCCCATTGCTTGTTTTTGTGAGGTTTGTCTAAGATTAGATGGTTCTAGATATGTGGTTTTGCTCCAGAGGCCTCTGTTTTGTTCCATTGGTGTGTGTCTGTTTTGGTACCAGTACCATGCTGTTTTGATTACTATAGCCTTGTAGTATAGCTTGAAGTCTGGCAGCGTGATGCTGGCAGTTTTGTTATTTTTGCTTAGGATTGTTTAGGCTATGTGGGCCCTTTTTTGGTTCCACATGAAGTTTAAAGTGGTTTTTTCCAATTCTGTGAAGAAGGTCATTGGTAGTTTGATGAGGATAGCATTGAATCTATAAATTACTTTGGGCAATATGGCCATTTTCACGATATTCATTCTTCCTAACCATGAGCATGGAATGTTTTTCCATCTATTTGAGAAGTATACACGTCTTTCTTTTCTAATAAATAGCACTTAAATAGTTTTAGTCAGTGTTTGCTAATGGATTAACACTAATACAAGTCTGCATAGAATATAAACAATTTAACTGAAACACTAAGCCATTTAAAGTTCTAAATATTCTATGGTCTATTGCACTGTAGTATAAAGGCAGTTATACTTTCACTTTTTTTCTGGGCCATCAAATTCTATCTGTGAGTATATTTTTGGTTAGAAAATTTCTGTTTTGAAATAAGGTGGGCAGGAGTTCGAGAACAGTCTAGCCAGCATGGTGAAACTCCATCTCTACTGAAAATACAAAAATTAGCCTGGTGTGGTGGCACACACCTGTAGTCCCAGCTACTCAGGTGGCTGAGGAACAAGAATTGCTTGAACCTGGGAGGCAAGTTTGCAGTGAGTCAAGATCATGCCACTGCACTCCAGCCTGGGTGACAGTGCAAGGCTCTGCCTCAAAAACAAAACAACAACCCAAAAAACCCAACTACAACAACAACAAAACAACATGGCTGGGCACAGTGCTTCACACCTGTAATCCTAGCACTTCAGAGGCTGAAGCAGGAGGATTGCTTGAGCTCAGGAGTTTGAGACCTGCCTGGAAAACACAGTGAGACCTCACTGCTACTAAAAATAAAAAAAAAATAAAAAATTAGCTGGATGTGGTGGCACCTCTAGTCCCAGGTACTGGGGAGGCTGAGGAAGAAGGAGATCAAGCCCAGGTGATTGAGGCTGTAGTGAGCTATAATCATGCCACTGCACTGCAGCCAGGGCAACAGAGTGAGACCCTGTCTCCATATAGACAGATAGACAGAAACCTTCTTTCTTTACTTACTGGCTTTCTGTGCCTTTGAGTCATGTAATATATGATCACTCAAGTGACAAAGGGCATGCATGGTAAGGTGGATTTCTATCATAAAAATACACCCAGTTAAATTCTAGTTGACACATTATTAAAGATTCAGAAAGTATAGATAAAATTTTAAATATGAAACTTACTTTATGTTGAGATAAATGTAGATTCCCAACTACTTGTAAGAAATAATATAGAAAGATCCTGTGTACCCTTTAACTAGTTTTCTTCAGTGGTAATGTCTTGCATAACTACTGGGTACAATATCACAACTAAGATGTTGATATTAAAAAATTCAAGATACAGAACATTTCCATCATCACAGTGATGCCTCTGTTGCCCTGTTGTACAGACATACACACTTCCTCCTGTCACCGCATCCTTCCACACCTTCCTTAATGTCTAGTGACCAGGATTCCCCATTTCGGTGATTGTGTCATTTCAAGAATGTAAATGACATATAAGGTATAATCTTTGGAGTTTTTACTTCCTTCACTTAGTATGGCTTTCTGGCGATTTGCCCAGGTTGTTTTATTTAGCAATTGTTTGTTTTTTATTGACAAGTAGTACTCCAAGGTATAGATGTACCACAGTTTAACTATTTACCCATTAAAAGACACATGGATTGTTTTCCATTTGTGACTGTTATGAATGAAACTGCTATAAACAGTCATGTACATATTTCTTTGTGAATATTTTATTTTTTCTGGGATAAATGCCCAGGATTGCAGCTGTATGGTGTTTACGTGCTTAGTTTTTTTTTTTTTTTTAACATGGAGTCTCTCTCTGTCACCGCAGCTACAATGTAAGGGCACAGTCTCGGCTCACTGCAACCACTACCTCCTGGGAAAAAGGGATTATCCTGCCTCAGCCTCCCGAGCAGCCAGGGTTGCAGGGGCATGACACCACCTCTAGCTAATTTTTGTATTTTTAGGAGAGACAGGGTTTCACCATGTTGGCCAGGCTTGTCTCAAACTCCTGACCTCAAGTGATCTGCCTGCCTTGGTCTCCCAAAGTGCTGGGATTACAGGTGTGAACTACCACGTCCAGCCCACCACGGGAGTTTAAAGGGCAGTCATGCTTGTTCCAGCCTAAGGCAGCATTTTCCCCTATCAGAACACTGCAGCTCCTGCATCTCAGGATAGGGCACTTGTAAGTCAGTCAGCAAACTCTCTGCTCTAACTGGCTACTGGGGCCATTGTCTTCTGACACAGCCTGGCCAGGAGGCCTGCCATCTGCAAAAGGGAGTTCACTCCTTCTGCTGTTTTTATATGAGTGTATCCAATTTCCTCGATAACCTCCAGTTTCAGGTGTTCTGTCATTTGGAAAGTTTTACACACTTGAAAGATGTTACCAATGATACCTTCTGGTGAGTAGCGCAGATGCCACAGGTGAGCAAGAATCTTGCAGGCTTCGTCGGTGTTGGCATTCACACAGTGCTGGATCATTTCCTTCATCAGCAGTGGGTGGGGCTCTTCACAGACCATAAACACATTCTCACTGTTAATGAAAGCAAATCCTGCCAGGGTGGACTGCAGGTTGTTCAGCACCTGCCTCATGTCTCCGTGGGCGGTGAAGATGATGGCTTCCAAGCCGTCATCAGTGTGGGGCACCCTCTCCTTCTCGATAACATTCATTAGCCTGGCAAGGATCTGGGCGTTGGTCAGCTTCGCGTAGTGGAGGTCAGCACAGTGGGACTGAATGGGCTCAATGATCTTATCCGAAGTGTTACAAGCAAGGGCACTGGCTCCCTCAGTCGTGCTGTGTGCTTCATACTGAATGATGATCTTATGTCGGCCTTTGGGAAGGGTGACTTTTGGTTGAGCAAACATTTTAATTTTACTCCTCACAACTCACTGCCCCTGTCATTTGAAGTAGTGAGTTCCAACACAGCGTCTTTGAGTGCTGGGTCCAGCAGGGCTCGTCCCAAGCACAGAATGTGTGTAGTCTTGTCAGTTCCTGGTGGGCCTGCAGTGATGATATTGGGCACATTCCCTTCCCCTGCAAAGACCTCTAGACTGCTCACTGTGTCTTCATTCCCGACGCGCTGCCGGGAGCCTTGCTGGAGGCAGGGTCAGTGTCCTGGGCCTCCCGCTGGCCCACGCTACCACCACCGCCAGCCTCCGCCTCCATTCTCGTGTCCGCATGCTTAGCTTTTTAAGAAACTGCCATACAGTTTTCCACAGTGTCCTATTTTATATTATCACCATAAACGTACAAGTGATCCAGTGGTTTCACATTCTCACCAGCATTTGGTGTAGTCAGCTTTTGTTTTTTTTCATTTTAGCCATTCTGAGAGCTTTGTAATTATGTTGTACTGTGGTATTGATTTTTCCTACTGGTTAATGATGTTGAGCATCTTTCTAGGTACTTATTTGCTATATGTACATCATCTTCAGCTCAGCAAAATTATTATTCATGATTTTTGTCCATTTTCTAACTGGATTTTCAACTTTTTGACTATTCAGTTTTTAAGAGTTCTTTATATGCTTATGTATCTGATATGTAATTTGAAACTATTTTATCTCAAGTTATAGCTGATCTTTTCATTGTCCTAACAGAGAAACAGGATCTCTTGCAGAGCAAAAGTTTTTTAATTTTGATGATGTATCATTTATCAATTTTCCTGATTTGGACCATGCTTTTGGTATCAAATCTAAAAGTTGTATAGCCCTAGATTCGAAGATTTTGTGCTTTCTTCCTGCAAGTTCATAGTTTTATGTTTCAAATTTAGGATCTTTCAATCTCTCTGCCTTTTCTTTTTCTTGACTTAATTGTACAGACTCGTACTTCTAGCACCATTTTGAATAAAAGTGGGAAGAGTCACCTCCTTGTACTGTTCCTGATCTTTGGAGGAAAGTATTCAGTTTTCTACCATTAAACATAATGTTAGCTGTAGGTTTTTAGTAAATGCACTTTATCAATTTTGGGGTATTCTCTTCTGTTCCTATTTTTCTTAGTATGTTTATTATGAATGGGTATACAATTTTTGTTGAATACTTTCTCTGCATTGATATGATTATGTGATTTATTTTCTTTAGCCTGTTGGCCGGGCGTGGTGGCTCACGCCTGTAATCCAAGCACTTTGGAGGCCAAGGCGGGTGGATCACCTGAGGTCGGGAGTTCAAGATCAGCCTGACCAACATGGTGAAACCCAGTCTTAAAAAAAAAAAAAGTCTTTAGCCTGTTAATATGATTACATTCATTGATTTTCAAATATTGAACCAGCCTTGCATCCCTAAAATAAGCCTCACTTGGTCACAGAATCATGGAGTATAATTCTCTTTATATATTGTAAATTCTATATGCTAATATTTTGCTGATTTCTGTATGCATATTCATGAAGCACATTCACCTGAAGAGTTCATTTTTTTCTACATTTTTGCCTGTTTTTAGTATTATAGGGTATCTTTTTATGTTCTGGCTGCTGTAACAAAATACTTTTGATGGGGTAACTTCGAAACAACAGAAACTTACTTGTCACTGTTTTGGAGGCTGGAAAGACCAAGATAAGGTGCCAGTGGTGTCTGCTGAGGGGCCACCCCTCATGAATAGGACCCTTTAACTGTGTACTCACAGGGTGAAAAGGGCAAACATGCTCTGTCAGGCTTCTTTTCCAAGGGGACTGATTGTGTTACTGAGGGCAGAACCGTGGGCTTCTTCCAGGAACACATGGCTTGTTCGGTATTTGAAAATCAGCTAATATAGCTGGCCATATTAATAGGCTAAAAGAGAAAAATAACCATACGTATTTGACAAAATTTCATACCCATTCATAATTAAAACTTAAAAAGAAAATAGAAGCTGGGCACAGTGGCTCACACCTGTTATCCAAGCACTTTGGGAGGCCGAGGCAGGTGAATCACATGAAGTCAAGAGTTCAAGACCAGCCTGGACAACATGATGAAACCTCGTCTCTTCTAAAAATACAAAAAATTAGCCAGGCGTGGTGGCGGGTGCCTGGAATCCCAGCTACTCTGTAGGCTGAGGCAGGAGAATTGCTTGAAACTGGAAGGCAGAGGTTGTAGTGAGCCAAGATCATGCCACTGCACTCTAGCCTGGGCAACAAGAGCAAAACTCTGTCTCAAAAAAAAAAAAAAAAAAAGAAAGGAACTTTCTAAAATTGATCAAGAACATGTACTAAAGACCTACACTTTACATTATATTTAATGGTAAAAAGCTGAATGCTTTCGTCCTAAGATCAGGAACAGCAGAGCACTAAAAGTCGTAGTTTCATAATAGTATCACCTTGGAGTTCAGAATGTCAGAATATAAATTTGAGGAGGGAGCATAAACCTTCAGATTGTAGCCAAGTATAATACTTTAAAAAATGAATTAGGCTGTTCAAATTATTTCATCTTGGGTAAGGAAATTTCAGTCATGTAATACATGCTTTATGGCAGGTGAGCAAAGGTACTATGAGAATCCATAGATGGAGCCTCACTCAACCTGGGCAGGAAGGTAGGCAGGGATAGGGAAGGCCTGCTAGAGAAGATGATCTATTAGGTTGGTGCAAAGTAACTGCGGTTTGGCAAAAACCTAATAGGGAAGAGTTAACCAGGCTACCTGGGTGGGTGAGTAAGAGATCAGGATGTGTCAGTAAGAGAGAACAGTGTATAGGGGATGGTGGTAGAGTTCATTAGGGGACCTGCATTTTTTGTTGTGTCCGGAGCTGAATGTGTGTCTGTTGGGGATTGGACAAAAGAGGATCTTGAGGGGAGAGAGAATGATAAGAGGTAAGATTGATATGTAAATACTTAATCCTGAACAGTCTGGTAGGATCTCCTGAGGAGTTTGAACCAATGAGTATAATGGTGAGGAGTCACAGCAGAGTGTCAAGTCCAAAAGAGACAATTGATAGTTGTCTTCAATGTAGACAGTGGAATCTTTGCCTATGAGTACTCTCAGTAACAAGGTACATAAAATGTAAAGTAAAATATATTCAACCAAGACTAGATTTTCCTTAGATCGCATTTCCTTAGGTCTCTATTTAGACTATAGAGAGATTATTCCTAAGTAACAAATCCATTTATTTTTTTTTTGAGACAGAGTTTAGCTCTTGTTTCCCAGGCTGGAGAGCAATGGCATGATCTCGGCTCACCACAACCTCTGGCTTCTGGGTTCAAGCAATTCTCTTGCCTCAGCCTCCTAAGTAGTTGGGATTACAGGCATGTGCCACCACGCCTGGCTGATTTTGTATTTTTAGTAGAGATGTTTTTCCATGTTGGTCAGACTGGTCTCATAATCCCAGCCTCAGGTGATCCACTGCCTAAGCCTCCCAAAGTACTGGGATTACCAGCGTGAGCCACTGTGCCTGGCTGCAAATCCATTTGTTAAAGAACCAAAACAATTTGGGTTGCCCACTTAGAAACTGAAGTCCAACTCTTATTCTTTTCCCACTGCCTAGGAAAATGTAAACCATTGGATGGACATACATTTATTGAAACATTTAAGTGCTTTTTTCTTTTGCTTTCCTCCTTTTGACTATTCAGTCAGGCATAATTTAGGTTTTTGTCAAAAAAATATTACTAGTCAGTTGTCTCCCTTTAGATGTTTTAACATACATCTAGTGAACAATTGTGAACAAGACTCTATGGCTTGTGAGACACCTGAAATGTCTCATAGTCTCATCCCACAAGTATCTGATGATTACAGAAAGAAGACATATGTGGGAAAAAATTTATAAACAGGGTGATATGTGATATCAAATAAGTAGAACTGACAATATGGGTGATTAAACTTTAGAGAAGGCAGAGAACACTTTAGACATGATGCAAGGGAAACTGGCTTTTTTATCTTTTCATTCAGTAAATATTTATTGAGTCCCTTTCCTTGGCGTTGAGCCAGATAATATCCCTGTTCTCATGGGGCTTCTTTGAGGGACATAGACATGGTAAAAATAAGACAGTTTCAGATAGTTTCATTATGAATATGAAACAGGGCAAGGTCGACTAAGTGAAGTGGGTACTATTTAATCAGGAAGGTTTCTCTGAGGAGGAGACATTTATCCTGAAACAATGCCAAGAAGGAGCCAGCCATGATTTAAAATGATAATTCTAAGCAAAGGTACCAACCAGTCCAAAGAAGCAGCTTGGGGTATTTGAAGTTCAGAAAGAAGGCCAGTGTGGCTGAATGGACTGCAAAGAACAAGAAGAAATAGTAGAAAATAAGATCAAATATGTCTAGATCACAAATTTCATGGACAACCAGTTTCAGGATTTTAAGTAGAGGAGTAAAATAAAATGTTTATTAAAAAGACAATCTGGGCCATGTGTGCTGGTTCATGCCTATAATCCCAGCACTGGGAGGCTGAGGCAGGCAAATCACCTGAGGTGGGCAGATCACCTGAGGTCAGGAGTTCAAGACCAGACTGGCCAACATGATGAAACCCCGTCTCTACTAAAAATACCAAAATTAGCCGGCCATGGTGGCGTCTAGCTGAGGCACCAAAATCTCTTGAACCTGGAAGGCAGAGGTTGCAGTGAACCAAGATGGTGCCACTGCACTCCAGCCTAGAAGACAAAGTGAGACTGTCAAAAAAAAAAAAAAAAAAAAAAAAAGGTACTCTGGCTGGTGAGTGGAGAAAGGGGGAAAGATCAGATTCAGGTGTGTCAAGTGCTACTGGGAGTACTAAGAGGTTAAAGAAATGACCATTGGACTTGACAGCATGGAAATTTTTGTGGCCCTGACAGGTGCTACTTCAGTGGAATAGGAGCAGGTGAAGTCCCAACAGGAGTTGGTTGAGGAGCAAGTGCAGGCCATGAAACACATTTTTGTGAAAATGATTAAGTGCCTGTAAAAACATTTTGCTAAAACATCGCCTTCTGCTTAAGAATGTTGCTTACTTCTATAATGTGTTTTTGAACAATGTTTTTTAAGTTAGAAGGAGGTTTAGAGATGATCTAGCCCAACTCTTTGTTTTTACAGATGGCCAGAATAAGTTCTGGGGAATTTAACTAGTTTCAGAGTCAGATGCCTAATTTACACTTTGCTGTTTTTTTTTTTTTTTTTTTTTTTTTAATTCTACACTGCTACTAATGATAACATTTATTCAGTGCTTACCAGGTACCATATACGATGCCAAAAGCTTTACGTATATTAATACAGTTTTCATGATCTCATAAAGAATGTTCTAGTAAAAGTTCCATTTATAGCTGAGAGAATGACGGCGCAGAATTTGAAATATCTTGTTTAATGTCATATATCTGACAGGTTCTGTGCAGCCAGAATTCAAAACCCAGATACTCAGGACACATTCTTGCTCAGTATTTTATTCTACTTTGCTTAGCTC